AGCACCACCCTGGCTGGTTTGCTCAGTGGTTAGAACATCAGCCTGTGGACCAGGGAGTTTCGGGTTCGATTCCTGGTCAAGATCAGAGCTGGGTACCTCGGCTGCGGCTTTGACCCCTGGCCCTGGCTGGGGTCGTGTGGAAGGTAACTAATCCATGTGTCTCTCTCACATTGATGTTTTTCTCTCTCTCTTTCCCTCCCTCCCACTCTATCTGAAAAAAAATCAATGGAAAATATCCTCGGGTGAGGTTTTTAAAAACTTCCAGCACCATTCCTGTTGTCATCCTTTTCATTAGCTTACAGAGCAGGTGAGGCAGAGTCATTTCCAGAAGATGGTGATCTGACTCCCATCCCCCTTCACCGAGTACCATCCCACATGCCATCAATTCCCCCCTGGCCTACTAACTATTCTACAGCAGTTAGTACAAGCAGCCCCCTCCTCCAGGAGGCCCGCCCTGGAGCCTTCTCCATCCCTGGTGGGTAAGGTACTCTTCCTGGGGTTCAAGGTCCTCCCTCACAACACCCATCTCCACGAATTATAGGTGCTCTTCTGCTTACCTGAGAGCTCAGTGGGTATAGGGAGCATTCTGTCCTGATGAATCCATGTTCTGAGTCCATGTCCTGCTCCATCCATGTTCTGAGCACTAGCAGTGCACAAGACCTTGGCCCAAGCTAAGTGCTTTGCATGCATTTCCTCATTTGGCACCCTCTCCCTAGAGAGGATCGTCATAACTCCATTTTATAGATAAGGAAACAAACCTGGCTTCTCATCCTGGCTGTGCTGTGCACGGTCTATGTCCTTGGGCAGGTTATTTAACTTTTCTGAGCCTACCTATGCTTGGAACAGCTGCCCCCATGGCCTCATGCTCTGACTTCCTGCTTTATTCCATGCTCAATGAATTGGAATCCTCTGGTGAGGTTTGCTGTGGATTCACATTGGGCCATGACAGGGCACTGAGTCAGAAAAGCAAGGACATTTTTTCCATCCCACTCTGAGCACATGGCCTTCCTCAAACTCCCCTCCCAAGTAGCCCCAAGAATGGCTCCACCAGACTTTCACTGTCCTTAACCTTCCTCCTTGAAGCAGACCACTGGGTTTAGGGATACTGCCACCTGGTGGCCATAGGATGTAGAGGACAGGGTAGCACACTGGCTTTTTGGGTTGGAAGCGGGACCCCTCTCTCTGCTTAGTGTACTGCCAGCAGCCAGCTGTAACACATGTTTGGAGAAGGTGGGGCAGCTGGACTCCAGAGAGCACCAACCATCACTCACGATAGCTTCATGGTTAACCCTAAAAGTTCCACAGACTGGGTCCAAGTCCTGGTTTTGACACTTCCATACATGTAACCTTGGACTAGTCAACTAATCACTGTGAGTCTCAGCTTCCTCATCTGTAAAGTGGGTAGCCTTCCCCTCCTGTGTTAAGGTCACATTCCCTGACAATAACCTGTAGATTCTTCCTCGAGCATCCTTTTGATTTCATTATTTTTAATAAGGGAATGTATGTTATATTCATGCGAATTATATATTCAACTCCAAAATTATGCTTGTTTTAAGCAAAACCTGGAGCCTTCAGAGAGCTTGGGGTTTGTGCAGACTGTTAGTCTGCTCCGCCAGCTCCTGTCCCCAGGATGCCTCTTCACTCTATTCTGTGGTTAAGGTCTCATTTAGCTTGGCGCTTGGCACTTGACACATATCTCATTTAACCCTCATACAGCAACAAATGACCCTCATTTTACAGAGCAGAAGTCAGTTCAGAGAGGCTGAGTAACTTGTTGTGGTCACACAGTTGCTACAATAAGGAGCTAAGCCTCTGGCCCAAGTCTCTCTGACACCAGAGTCTTCACCTGATCACCCCTGTAGAAAGCCCTGGAAGCTGATGTTCTGTCCCTGAGTTCTCCAAGGAGCACATGACAGGGGACATCTGTTTGCTAATGTACATGCCCCAGGGTCCCAACACCAACTGGAGGAGGCCATCTGAGCCGAGGGGGCCAAGCAGAGCAAAACCAGCACCTCCACTCCCCTGCTTTTGCTCTATTTCCTGTTTGCCTTTGGAAGATGCAGCCTGAGCAGGACTTCCTCTTGCTAGAGGAGTTCCTGGCAGTTTCAGTTCTCTCTCTTGTTGGGAACTGCTCGGAACCAAGTTACACAGGGGCAAGGAACACGTCTCTTCTGCCCACCCACTCTCATGCCAGGGCTGTAGTGTGGACATAGCCCTCCTCTTACAGTTGCAGGGGACAGCGGAGAAGAGGTGTCCCATCCCCAAAGGAGGACAATTAAGGCCCAGAAAGGAACAGGACTCACCTGAGGTCACACATGTAGGGTGAGCGAAGTCCCCTGCCAGGCTTCTGCCTATGGCCCACTGCCTTTCTCTTCTGGTGGGCAGGAATACCTCAGTATCATGGAGACTGGAAGGTAGTGAGGAGAAGGCCCTTTACCCTGGTCCAGAGACACTCATGTGGCCAGGCAATCTGGGCTTGGGAGACTGATGGGCAGAGAGAAAAAGGCTGTGGAACATGACCCATCACCTTCCACTCAGTAGGCTCAGCCCCATGTGCATTTGCAGCTCTTGAAGCCCCTCCGGACGGCCATACGAGTGTCTGTTTATACATGCACCCATCCATCCATCCATCCATCCATCCATCCATCCATCCATCCATCTATCCATCCATCCATCTACCCATCCACCTATCCACTCATCCACCCATCCATTGATCTATCCACCCACCCATCTATCCATCCATCCATCCATCCACCCATCCACCTATCCACTCATCCACCCATCCATTGATCTATCCACCCACCCATCTATCCATCCATCCATCCATCCATCCATCCATCCATCCATCCACCCATCCACCTATCCACTCATCCACCCATCCATTGATCTATCCACCCACCCATCTATCCATTCATCCATCCATCCATCCATCCATCCATCCATCCATCCATCCATCTGGGAGGGACAGCTGTCTGTACTCAGAGGAGAGATGGTGCTGGTAAGAGCCCTGGGCTTTAGCCCTCACTGCCCAGCCTGTACATGGCTTCTCTCCCTCACAAGCCAATCAGCATGCCTGAAATCTTGCTATTAGATGCCCAGCCAGTGTGGCTCAGTGGTTGAGTGTCAGCTCATGCACCAAGAGGTCACTGATTCGATTCCCGGTCAGAGCACATGCCTAGGTTGTGAACCAAATCCCCAGTGTGGGGCATGCAGGAGGTGGCCAATGGATGTTCTTTCTCATTGATGTTTCTATCTCTCTCTCTCTCCCTCTCCCTTCCTCTCTCTCTAAAATCAATTTAAAAAATTAGAAATAAAAAAGAGAAATGCTGCTATTAGAGCCGCTGCCTAGAGGGAGAATGCTGTAGATGAAAGCAGATATCAGGGTCATGCTTCCATAAGCCAAGGAAGGCCAAATCTTGCCGGCAGACCACCAGAGGTAGGTGGGAGGTCTGGAACAGATTCTCACACAGCCCTCTGATGCAATCAACACCACTGGAACAATCTTGGACTGCTAGCCTCTAGGACTACCAGACAATACATTTCTGTTATCTAAGCCACCCAATTTGTGGTGCTTTGTTGTGAGCCCTAGGAAACCAATACAGCAGTCAATACTTCTCTACAGACATAATTCAGTATTTTGACCTCTGTTACCACAGGCTAGTTTTGCATGTTCTTGTGTTTCATAGAAATGGAATAAAACCATCTGTATCATTCGTGCCTGGCTTCTTTTGCTCTCTGCATATGATTTTGAGCTTCATCTACATTGCTTTTGCATCATTAGTGCATTCTCTTCTTATTGTTGTGTAGTGTTTCATTGTACATGTTATACAGTTTGTTTATTCATTTCCCTGGTAATGGAAATTTGTTGTTTCAGTTTGAGGTTAATGCTGGGTTTGCTCTGGGGGCAGATGCAGTTCTCATCTTCTGGGGAACTGGTTCCCTGGGGGAACCCCGTGGTGCTGCCCCACTGGCTGGGGCAGTGGGACAGGTAACTGTTTTCAAAGTTCTCTGTTTTTCCTTTTTAGTTACTAAGCAACCGACTGGAGTTTAAATGTTCAGAATGGAGGAAGCAGGCTAGAAGCCCTGAATAGTTCCCAGAGGGGCATAAATTCAATTGTTCCCTGGGGTGTGGCCTACTGAGACTTTTGTGACCTCAAGGGTCACCCTTGAGGAGTAAGTAAGCAGTGGGCCTGGGGACAGTGAGGCAGAGCAGGAAGGCACTTGCTGGTTGGCAGGGTGGCCTGGATGACACCACTCACTTGTATACCCTTCAAGAGTCCCCAGGATAGGGTTTGATGGGAACAAGAGAAAGGATTATGCTGCTAGCTCATTCTGGGGCCTTGGGCCAGGCACTGCCCCTCTCAGGGCCTTGGGTACCTCCTGTATAAGATGGGCACATGTCTATTGCCAGCTCGGTATTTTGGTGGGTATAGTGGAGGCAGTACAAACACGCTGATGAATTATGAATAGCTGCGTCAGGTGAAGAATTAGCACCATCATGACATTGGGTCACATCTAGGACAGCCAGCATCCATAGTACTGAGCAAGCATCTGTCTTGATATCTTTCAGCCTACCCCCGGAGTCCACCAGAGGCCAGGAGGAGTGGACATGCAAGGTGATTTTCTTGCTGTCCTCTTACGAGAGAGGCCACCCTGTGAGTGGCTGTTTTCTCCCTTCCCCTGAGGTCCTGCCATTTCTTGAGATCTCAGGGACCACCACTTTGCCCACGGGTTCCTCAGCCACCCCCAGCCCAGTCTTAGTGCTTTCTTCATAGTATTCCACATGCAGTGGGCCCTTCACTGACCCTCGGTCCAAAGAGGCTCCTCTCTAACAGGCCTGGGTGTTCTGTCCCCCCTCAACTGGCAGGGGAGAAGAAGGACATGGCTAATACCCTGGACACAGCTCTCAGGGTCCCTGGGGACACCATAGAGACTGACTAAGTTGAAACCAAGGCAGGAGCCCATCTCTCAGAGGCCCCTCCCAGCAGGGGTCCCAGCCGTGGATTGCACTTCTGTAATATGAAGTCACACTTCCATTTTCTTTCCTGAAAGGAAACCGGAATAAAGCAGCACAACTGATGAGCATTCTGACACATCACAACCCTGAACCTCAGCCGTAACTGCCACTCCCAGAAGCTTCCAGGCCAGGACCTACTTCCTCCCGAGAGCTCACAGCAAAGTGGCAGAGCCAGATGTGCCCTTGGAGGTAAGGGAGGTGGAAGATAGAGGGATTTGAACCTGCAGTGAGGGGAGGAGGGCTGGTGGGGCTGGGAGCAGGGCCCTGCTGGCTTCTTGCCCGGCTCACACCCCAGTGTCTTCCTCCTGTCTTGCTCCAGAGGTGGCATTGGCAGAGCTGGGTTTCTGCTTCCCCAGAACATCTAGAGCCTGGAGACACGAGTTACAGAGAATAAAGTCACACAAGCAGTGGTGAAGACTTCTTTCTGAGCGGTTCTCATAGGGTCCCTGGGCCATGGAATTAGTTCTTACGAGTGAATTCTCAGTTTCTGGACAGGCCTGAGGACTTTGATGCCAAACCTAGTGGTCCTGGACCTGGCTTATACCACACCCTCAGAAGGAGGCTTTCTGCAGGTTGGAGACAGAGGGGGATGTGGGTGGGGGCATGTATTTGTGTATATATGTGTGTTAGGGAAAGGGGGGTGTTCTGAGGAGCCCACCCCCACCATCAGGCTGGAAGGAAGGGCCTTAGCCAGCTTCATCCAATAGGTAGGAGGGGCAGAGGGTCAGGGGCTCAGAGGGACATTGAGCCTGTACCACATGTGACAGGCTCCCTGTCCCACAGCCTTTAAGGACCAGAGTCCAATTTAGGGTCTATCTAAACGTGATTTTATGTATATTTCCTGTGTGTGAGCTTCTCTTCATTTAGCTATTTGGCAAATGTGCCCCCAGACCCTTGCTGTGGCCAGCCCCGATCTGCACTGGGCAGTGGGACACAAGGCGGTGTGGCCGCTCAGACCACACACTGCCCTTGGGAGGCCTCAGAGAGACAGGAGGGCGGGAGCTCAGGGAGGACAGAACTCTGACATTGTAAGGCAAAGATGGACTAAATGGAGGCTTGGCCAGGTGCCCCAGGTGGGGAGAGTCTTCCTATTGTGGGGGTCAGAGGGCAGAAAGAGGAAAAGAGCTTCCTGGAAGAGATCACATTTGAACCAGGCCTTTAAAGAAGAGCAGTATCTAAACACAGAGTTTGGGGTGGAAGATCCATTTGTAGTAGAGAAGATTGTGTAAGCAAAGCCTGGTGCTGTATAAGGGTATAACTGGCTGTCCAGATCCACTCGGTTCTGTAGAAGGTGGGGGCAGGTCCCAGACCACATGGAGTTGATGGCTGTGGTAGAGAGTTTGTGTTCCTCAAGTCCATGCAGGAATGGAGCTGACCGTTGTAAGTAGCCTTCCCATGTATGCCAACGAGAGTCTAAAGGACAAATTACTGGAGATGGAGCTGCTGGGACAGCGTGTGCATTTCACGCTGTTGCAGATATGTCCAGTGTCCCTCCATGAAGTCTTGATCAGTTCTTGAGCAAGACACCTTCTTCGTCAGGATCCATCTTTTCTCCAGACAGTGAGGATGGGATACTCGTGGCATTCTGGCCCCTTAGCACTTGGTTCCCTATGGGAATGTGCTGGCTGTTTTCATTCCTCCTTCTGGTCCCCAGGCAGCCTTTCTGATCTCCCAGGAGCAGGCAGGGTTCCCCTCTTCCGTGCCCCTCCACATGCCTGACACTAAAAGTTCCTGTCTCTTTCCCCAGCTGCGTGCTCAGGAGAACAAGGGCGTCTTCTCTTACATCGGCTTAACTCCAGGAGCTGGTCAGAGGAGGGCTCAGCAAGAGTTTGCCATGTGACTGCCATTAAAGAGGAAAGTATATCCTGTCTAGCTGTCCTTTTCTTTCTGTGAAGCATGGCCAAACTGTCCTTAAATACAATAGGTCACCAGGACCCCACCCAGCATGCTTGAATGCCTTATACTTTGCATAGACAAGGTCAAACATACCTATATTACAGAAAAGAAAATGAAAATTCAGAGAGGGCAGGTGGCATGCCCCACACACAGAGCCTGGGAGAAATGCAGCTGGGGCCAGAACCCCTGGTCCTTGTCTCCATCCTGGCTTGACCAGAATAGCTGCATTCATGGCCCGTGCTTGGCTCTGTTTGGTTGGAGGTGGTCCAGGGTCCCTGAGGTGGGCAAGTGTGTCTGGGCTCAGGGAGCCAGAAGGATATCTGTGTTCCATCCTTCCCAGGCTCCCATTCATGAAAAGACCCCTCACGGTCCTGCGGGTGAGCCTGCACCACCCCACCCACGGGCCCGCTGTCTTCGCTACAGTCCCACAGAGGCTGCAGCGTGACACCAGCCCACTTCTGGTGGGGCGGGGCCTGGACACCCATCTTCAGCTGCATCCTGTCCCGCCAACACCTGTCCCTGGAGCCCTACCGGGAGAAGGGCAGTGCTCTGCTGGCCTTCAACCTCAAGGCCCTGAGTCGCAGGGGTTGCGTGTGGGTCAACGGGCTGATGCTGAGGTTCCTAGAACAGGTTCTCCTGAGCGACGTCAATAGAGTCACCTTCGTAGGCATCCAGATGGTGGTCCATGTAGAGAGAGGCACCTCCCTGGAGGCCTTGGTCTGCTGCTTCCATGTGAGCCCCTCACCCCTGATTTACAGGCCCCAGGCTGAGGAGACTGATGAATGGGAAATCATCCCTGAGGAGCCACCTGCCCCACGTTCAGAGCAACTGGCTCCAGGTCACCTGGGCTTTCTTCATGGCCCTTCCCAGACTGGGGACAGCTCACCCCAGCCAAGCGCTGGAGGAGGAACAGAAATACAGCTCCACAGGGAGCCCGCAGACGGCGCGCTCTGCTAGCCCTGCCGCCCAAAGCACGCCTTGGCTGAAACAGGACTTGAAATATTCGAGCTACATCATACGACCTTGACAAGCAAAGCCTGCCTGGCTAATAATGAACCGATTCTGCAAACACGAACAGCCTGGGGTGGGGGGAGCGCGCTCCACGTTTCCAGCTCTGCAAGGCAACAGGAACTTCATATACTTTTAGAGGCCCTGAGGGGCTCTGGGAGCCCCTCTCAGTATTTCCCCACATTTCACGGTCTTGTCTGACTAGGAGTTACTTTATGTTGCTAATTTTGTGCACTGCTTAAGAGCGGGAGTTTGAGGTTGCGGCAGGAATGCATGGACACATGTAACAATTACGTTTGTGGTAGCTGGGGGTTACCTTCGGCTTTCAAATACCCACAGGCACTTGGGGCTTAGGGAAGCCTGTGTTTAATAAACTGCAAGTATTTCATTAAGCTGGCATAACCAATAGGATCCCCTGATCCCCAGATGGGCTGCATGCATGCCACGTTGTCACGCAGAGGCAGGGGCGGGAACTGGAGAAGAGGTGTAAGAGGAAATTGGAAAGGTAGGGGCTCACATTTCTGGAAAGGATGAAAGCAGAGCTCAGGGCTTCCTGGGCATGGGGAGCTGGGGCCTGTCACCGTCCTCCTCATCCTCATGCTCCCCCACTCTTGGTCATTTCTGGATCAAAGCCTTGGCTGACCAGAGGGCATGGGTCCTCAGGAAAAGGTGGCTTCCCAGAGAACTGGGCTCTTTCAGGATTAAGTGTATGAGAGAGTGGGGTGGGAGGTTGTGTTAGAATTCAACCCAGAGTGCATCATATACCACTGGGGCGGGGTGGTCTTTTCAAATAAGGGACCAGTAGGAGGCCGGGCAGGCCACAGGTGGCATAGTTTTCTCAGTGAGCAGAGGAGTGGAGCAGAAGTGTCTGTGAGTGAGACACTGCACCCCCCTGAGCCCCTCATCAAGAGGGACACGAGAGGCACAAAGAAGCACCGTGAGGACGTGATGGTGGATGCCTCAGAGAGCACCACCATCTTGGCCTGGAGCAAGGAAGGCCATGGCTGAGCACAGGCAGCCCCACACAGGACACTGGCATACTGTCTGTTCCCACTAGACCTCAAGCTCCATGCACACAGAACCACAGATTGTTCACTATTGTGTTCCCAGTGGCCATCACGGAGCTGGGCAGAGGATGGGCAGACAGACAGGCACGGAGGTCAGGGAAGTAGTGAACTTGGTTGTGCTAAGGCACATGCCAGGTTTCCCAGGGTAGGATGAGATGCAGTCTGGACAGCTGGGGCAAGAAGGCCACAAAGCTATGGGCAGACAGTGGGCAGAGGCAAATGTCTCGTGCTTGTGCTGGGCCTCAGTGGGGGCAGCCCAGACCCTCAGGCTGGGTCTGAACAAGATCAGTGCTTCTGCCTCATTCTTGAGCCTCTGCAGCCCAAACTCAATCAAAACTCGGGGTGTTTGGAATTCTGTGTGATGACTACTGAGGAAGGTTGACATATTTGACAGTGCCCCATGTCACCAAGAGACAGCTCTCAGCTAGTACTTCCTGCCCCAAACAGAGGCACAGAGAGGACAGGCACCTTAGGGAGACCTGGGAGGGGCTGCAGGCGGAAGCTCTCAGGATGGCTGGACTGAGCCTTGGCCTGCAGCCCACCAAGCTTCCACAGGATCTGGTTCGACTCACTCTCCCAGCCCTCACCTCCACCCCAGTACATGGAAACCAGCCTATGCAGAACTCCTTGCCCCAAACACACACCAGGAATATCCTCCCTGTACCAACTCCCCACCCACACAGACCAGAGCTGTGTCTTTAAGAGATTCCCTGTGGCTGTAGGAAGTTAAAATGTCGCTGGAGGCATCTGCATTTTCAAAGAAAGGATTGGAGAGGGTAATGCCGGCCCTGAAGGAGTGAGTTTCCTTGTAGAAAGAGTGGCACTAAAGTTTCCACAGTAGGCAAATATTTCCGCTTCCCCTTAAATGGATGGTTCCTTCATACATGTATACAACAAGATACAATCCAGGGGCTGCTCAAGGTCTCCTTGTGACTAAGTCACAGAGCTGGGACAGGAACTGAGAACTAAGTCTTTGCACAATAGCCTGCTGAACGGCCAGGATGCAGTTAGCAAAGACATGTGCAGAAGCAAGTGAGCCCCGGTTGGTGTGGACGGTTCATCATCACTTGCACGACCTCCTCCAACTGCTGCCTGCGCTGCAGGTTGGGAGAGCTGCCCTCCACAGTATCTACTGTTGTGCTCCATTCTCAAGCTCTGCTCTGTGCCCTCTTCTTCCTCTGCTCCCCTTCCATGGCATCTGGTGGTGCTGATGTTGCCATCAGGTTAGCTGGTGCCCAGAGAATCACACAGGACCATCAGGACTTCTCTTCCTTGTGGCAACTCTACCTGCATTCCCGTGTTCCAGTCACTCACCACCACCCCAGGCCCCAGGGCCGGTGCCAGGCTGTGGGGCGAAGAGCAAACAAACCAAGCTCCTCCACCTTTGAGAAGAGATGCCACAGTTAATGAGCGCTGTTCGCATTGCAGGGCTGTGATCCCTCTTACCTTGAACATGAACTCACAGGCGGATTAAAGTGAAATAAAGCCTACCATTTGAGTTACATTCTCAGATGATTGGAAACATGCATTACCTCCCCATGACCGGACTGTGAGAAGGGAAGTTATTATCTTTCTTCAGAGTTTGTAAACTCTTTATGGCTGAGGCAGCTTTAATCCTGCTGGGGGGAAAAATGATCTGGGAATAAATTGCTCTCATTTACCTTTGTTTTCCAATCACATGCTCCAGTGGGAACAAAACATCCTAAGTGAGGGGATGTGGGAAGCCAGGTGATCCCAGACAGAAGAGTTTAATTATTTTCTTCTTTAGGCACGTGAGCTGAAAGGGCTTTCCAGTGCCATTTGGCACGTGGGCTCGCTCCACAAAAATGTGTGCTCCTGTGTGATGCCAGCACTCCTGAGCAACGACTCTTCTCTGCCTTCCCCAGGGGACGTGGCCTCCGTTTCCCCACAACACCCGCTTCTCGGGGGGCTGGGGAGGGCCGCTTGCAGCCACAGTGCCCAGTTCCAGGCATTTTCAAAGACCACCAAGAAGTCAGAGAAAAGACAGATTTGAATTCAAATGAAATCACAGTCCGGGAAGGAGGAAGAGACCCTGGCCTTTGTGTTTCTGGAGGGGCTTTCTTTCCTCCTCTGTTATTTCTGTGTTCCCTAACCCGAAGCTTACACAGAGCAGAGAGGTCTGCCTGCTTTCCTTTAAAGGTGCAGAGGCAGGGGTGCTGTGGAGAACCTTCCGAAGAAAGCAGAGACTAGGGCCTTTGCAGCGAGAGCTCAGTCAGGCAGCCAAGCCCTGCAGTTTCCGCAAACGCTGCTCCAAGCCTGGCGGCATTCTTCCATTTACCTGCAGTTTTCTGAGCTAAGAAAATGGACTCTATTATGTCACCTTGCTTGGGGGCGGGGGAGGGGTTGTTTGGGAGTGTATCAGTCAGGATCCACTCAGGAAAACAAAAGCCACTCTAAATATTTCAAACATTTAATTCAGGAAATTAGGTACTCAGGTGATGGTGCCACTGAAGCCACACAGGCGATGCAATTGAGATCAGCCAGAGCAGGAAGTTGCTACCCCTGCCATTCCCACCCCTGGGGATGCAGGGATAACTGAGAGAGGCCGTGTCCCTTGGAGGCAGAGGCTGGCCTTCTGCGGCACTGAGAGAGAGGGGCGAAATACCCTGGCTTGTCCCCTTACCCACACCCCAGTGGCTCCCATCGGCTGAAGCCAGCCAGAAGGCAGCTAACAAGCAGCCCAGGGAACGCAGCCTGCAGGTGGATCCGCTACAGCCCAGAGCAGGGAAGGGAAGGGCACACAGTCCACACAGTCACAGTCAGCACAGGGAATATGCGCACTTCAGTGCCTTTCAACCCGCCTGGGCCCTGGGGTGGCCGCCCAAATGGAGAGGGGGGCACAGTATAGAGGACTCCACAGCTCTGGGGCCTCCTGAAGGCAATAGGCCTACACAGACCCCACCTTCCACCAAGGATACCCAAACCCATGTGAACTTCAATGTCTGTAAGAAAGAAAAGAGAAGGACACAAAGGACAAGTGGCATACAGTGAGGTACAGAGAAGAGCTGGGTGCAGTCTGGCCGGGCCCACACAACCCCACCCCCGGGACACCTGTCTTGAAATGCCCTCTCTACCCACCTCAAAGGTGGGACAGCAGAGCAGGACCTGCATCCTTCTGCCCTCCACTTCCTGACTAAGAAACAGCCTTCACCTCTTGAGCCCTTCTCCTCGTGTATTCAGTGGAGACCGTACTGGTGCCTGCCTCACTGCCGTGAAGACTGAAACACCTCGCATGAAAGAACATCATGCAGGCACCTTGGAAATACTCAAGAAATGCCAGCCATTCATGTTAACCACTGCTCATCCCTAAATATTCCTCCCTCCAGGATGCTTCCCTGACTTTTTCCACAAAGGAACCGCTCCCTCCTAGCTCCAAGACAGTGTTGGGACACTGAGGGATTTCTAGGCAGTGATCCATGGGACAAAAGTGTTCCCTTAGCTGCGAATTTGTGTATTTGCTGTGTGCTCTGGGCCACGCTGGAACCTCCCACCAGCAGAGCCTCTGGGAGGAAGAAGCTGTCGTGGACATGTTTGGACATGTCCCTTTTGAATTTGGATCGAGCAGCCTCTTAGCATCCAGTAGGTCCTCAGTAAGGGTCTGTTGACTGAATCACAAGAGACTGAGCTAAGAGAAAGAATTTGGGTGGGGTGATAGCAGACCTTTAGGAAAGAGGCTTTGGGAAGAAACTCAAACCACAACAAAACTCCTGGTTAAAATGCACTTCAAACAACTAATTGCTCTGGGTGAGAAGAGGCCAGAGTGAGTGGTTTGCTCAGTGAATGGACTCACTATATGCACAGGACCCTGAACCCAGAAGCCAAGGACAAATCCCAGCAGGGCCATGCAAGACCCACACTTCTGATTCACCATTTGCCAAAAGGTTTTCCTGTTTCCAGACGTGTCCTGCCTTCATGATGCAACATGACCACCCAGCCCTTCACCGCTCAGAAACACACACACGAGTACAGAGCTCTCAGACTTGGAGCTCTGCCCTGGGAGCACTGGGAGCAGGCAGGCTGGAGGCTTGGCATCCGAGGTTTCCACAGCCAGCGTGGGCCTCATTACTGAGGAACACATGGTCCCCAGTGGACACTCATTGGAGGCCAAGCAGGGAAGTTAATAATCAGGGGGCTCCATCTTTCAGTTTTATGTTCCTCTTCCCCTGGGCCTGTGGTTGCCATGCAGATTTCAAGTTGAAACATCAGGAAAGCCTCATGTGGTCTGACTTCTCCTTCCCTACCCCATTTTCTCAACACACATACGCACATGCACATGCACACACACACACGCACATGCACACACACACGCGCGCGCGCGTACACACACACAGGCAGGCCTCTAGGCTCTGTCAAGCACCCCAGGTAAAGTGTCAGCTAGAAAACCACAGGGTAATTATGAGCTGTGAGATTTGCTCCTCAGTTGCAGAAAGAAAATAGCTCCACTTGAGATTCTCATCACGTTTTACAAACCAGAGGGAATGTTTTGGCTCAGCTCAGGGGAAAATAGAAGCAAGGAGAGATCTCATTAGAGGAATGGTGGGGGGCATGTGGAGGGGGCCAGAGTGTTCTGGATAAAGAAACACCATACACCCTGGAAATAAGATCCTGGTCATACTGGAGCAGTTCTCACTGCAGTGTTGACCGATTTCCGATTTCGGTGGTGTAAATTCTTCCACCATGTCAATTCCAAGGTACCAAAATGATGTCACTGAACTTGGAGTTGGAAAGAGATGCACAGTGAGCACACCACTGCAGAGCATTTCCACCATACAGATATGCATATAAATATGGAATGACCTCAGATGTGGGAAAATAATTAGGAAGCTGTGAGTTTTGATTATTTATTAACTTTGTACTTCATATAATTTATTTAATTATACATTTATACAATTTCATTTTAATATTGGCTTATTTAGCGATCAGTTCTTACAAGACAGTGGGAGGTAGCTCCAGCACATAACTACATGGAAAAAGTTGTAAAATAACCAATGTGGAAATGAAGCCCTGGAGGGGTCAGAGTAACCATTCTAAGAAACTTGTACCTGTGCACACACACAAAACACGTAAAATATTTTGCTATTTAGAAGTGAATATATTTATATTTATAACATCAGGTATTCAAAATAACCTTAAACCATCCCATACTACAGATGAGGAAACCAAGGCTTAGAGAGGGAAAGCATGCCCAGATTCACTGAGCCTGGAAGTGGGGGACCCAGCATTTGATTTATGCTGGATCCTTGCTCTTCTCCTCGCTCCTTCCCTCTGTGCACACCTGGCGAGGAGTAGTCCACTGACTGTGGCTAACCGTGGGCTGTGGAGCCTCACTGTCAGTGCCCATTATGGACGTTGCCAGATAACAGTTCACAGTTGGAGTGCCTGTGCTTGGTCCCTGGAATCAGTCCTCTGGCTTAAAACATGCAACAGGGGAGTTAAGTAAGAGATCACACTCACCTTTTTCCTGGGACCTCTCTTGCAGAGCTCGGGGCAGTGATAGGTCACCTGGCATTTAGAAGCCACCTTCCTTCTCATAAGGGAGGAAAGCACAGCTCTCTGGGCCCCACCCCATCCCTCTGCCCTCTTGGACACAGGATGTTGGTGTTGGAGTCTCTGATAAACTGGGAGCAGACAGGCTTGTAACTTAATCTCTGAGCCGCAGTCAAACCCCAAGGCTTCCTAGACACTGAGAACAGAGCAGTACCTGGTTGACCACCCAGGCTGTGTGTGAGCATTAACCAGAAGCCCCTCGGAAAGCCCCAAATAGGCCACCTTCCCACAGCCCGGAGCAACTGGCATTGGATTCCAGGCAAGAGTAG